GTAGTGTGTGTGTGTGTGTGTGTGTGTGTGTGTGTGTGTGTGTGTGTGTGTGTGTGTGTGTATCAATAGTGAAACGTTCACAGTCATCAAAGTACGTACCTATAGTATCTGTATAACAATGAGATAGTGTGATCAGATACAATGTGCTTGCGTAATTTAGACATGTAGACCATACAGAAAATCACGTTTTAGGTTTATAGGTAATTTAATATTTGTACAAGGCAAACTCAACTTAAAGATTTCTAGAATTAAGTACTCAATTCTTAGTTAGTGCGACATACGACGTTTTGACAGTGTTAAACATTATCAGAAAGTAAAAGAACCTTTATCGCCTAATGATGCCAGATTAACGCTGGTGAAACGTCGCGTTTTATTTCAACTTTTTTTCACCACCTAGTATCGTCGATTTTCATTTATTTTTACGGTTTCTACAAAGCCCTCACTTCAAGCAATTCTTAATTTACTTTTAAGTATAAAACAACACAGTTTTCTTAAAATCTTAAAAGAAAATTATATTAAATAAACTAAACTTCTTAACTTTGTGTCAGATCCAGTGGTTGACTTATTTAATTTTAGTTTTAATTACTTATTAATAGAAGAAACTCATTTGTTTCTGTTCAGGTAAAGGTTGCATACATCAACGGCTAGGAATTTATATTACTTTGGTCTTGTGTTTGTTTCCAAATCTTACGGAGGGCAAACCTATTTCAAGGGGTAACACAGATACTTGTACAAAATGGTACGGGTTATTTTTTTTTCCCTTATAGATATTATTTTGAAATATTTTGTCTCGCATGTAGAGTTGGGTTCGGCACTTTAGCGCTTTGTCTAATTCAGTGTAGTAAATCAGAATAATTACCATTGTCTTTGTTCTGTGTGAACATGTATTAGATTGTTTCTTGTCCACTGTTTTAAGTGCACGTACTAATCTACAATTCCTCTCAACCCCAGCAGTCAGTTGAGGGCTCTAGTAGAAATAAACCAGTCAGTGTATGAAAAGAAAGACATGCTCTCTTAATAATGTTTGTTTTGTGTAAAATATTCATTTGTGTACTTGCTTTCTTTTATTATCTTGCCTCAATTTATTCTTTGCATAACATTTCCTGAATCTGCACTACTGCGAGAACTGTAAGGTCAACTTCAAGATATCAGTTAGCCACTTGAACGTATCACATAATATCAAGATATTTTTTATTGGAAGTACTCAAGAGTGAGACAAATTCCTGTTAAAATCACATATTGACTGTTCAAACTATACATATGCAAAGAGTGTATTAACTAGTTACTAAGTATCTACTTTTGTTCAACGTGATGATTTGATCATTCAGTTAAATCCTAAGACTTACTAGTATGATTCTGAAAGTAATTATGTTCCACGAATTGTTACTACTGATATGTTATAAATGAAACAAATGCATTAACTGTATTTGGTGAATAAATGATACTTATAAAACAAACATACTCTAATTCCACGAGATTTATAATAATTTAACAATTTTTTTTTATTATTTACATGCACATCGTATAAAATTAGTGTTAATGTTCACATACAAAATCCAGGGTTTACCTAAAGCATATGCAACGTACGTGTGGAAACCAGTCATCAGGATTACACACAATGGAGAACGCAACCCATCTTTCAGGTTACACCCCTCTTCTAGTTCTTTCTGTCCAAACATCTGTAAAGGTTATTAAATTCTTAATATTACAAATACACCTTGATATTTCTCAAATAAGGTGACTAAACAGTATAAAATATTTATGGACTGAGAAACATCGATTATAAACGTTTTACAAAGTAGCATAACGTTTAGTGATAAAGAAAACATTCAGTGTCTTTTCTTATGAACCGAGAAACTACATGCAACTGAATAAGTAAAATACTTACACAAAAATGATATATCACATGTCACTAAACGTACTTCAGGCCACCATGTCACATGTGTAGAGCCATAATATAAAACAACGAATGAAAAAACATCATCATATACAATAAATAAAAATCATTATTTAATCTATTGGAAGATTAGCTATAATAAACTAGCCCCTCTCTCTTCATATACAAAGTGGACCATGATATGAACCCTTCAATAAAACTGCTAAATAAACTATTTTGGGGCCTTTTCATAGAGGGTGGGGGTATTTACGTGATCAAGCATACAAAATGAAAACACTCAATTTGGATATATTTTTTCCAGTTTATCAGTCGAATTATCTGGAATAACTCCAGACCTGTGTAGGTAAGTATTCATGTTAGATTTAGATAGATAACTCACTTTCACTTACCATAATGGTGAACGTTTATAGAGTTAGACTGAATAAGAGTTCATGTACATACAACTTAAAATAAAAAACCTTTTCCTCGTGGTTATGTAGTTTAATTTTCCATTAATGATGCGGGGGGGGGGGGTTGCTATGACTCACTCTACATGTTGTACTTCACTGAAAACTTGCATGGAAAAAGACTAAACTTTATGCTATAAATCGGAGATACTTCAAATACATTATTGTTGGAATTAAACAGGTCCGAGATAATGATAACGAATGAGAGACAGAAAATTGTAGTAAGTTTAATAATAAAGATGATGCCCGTTATCAAAACATGTTATTTACAAGATTCGAACATTTCGCAGTACACTTACTCCATCTTCAGAAAAAGCTGAAAATAGTATTGCAAAGATATTTATTAACTACAACCAAAGTATCATTAATTACTAGTTTACTTAGCTATTAAGTAAAGTGGCAAACGGAAGGATAAAATAAGAATAAAAGGTTATAGATTATATAGAGAAACAGTTGAGTTTTAGTGTAAATTTAGAATAATTCTAGATATAAAGAGGTTTGTAAGTCGTTAAGAGTAGGGGCAGTCTTTAGCTACGAATAAACTTTCTTTAATGTAGAGTTCAAGGTCTGAAGACTATGTAGTAATGACAGAGAATTCGTTAAATGAAATATTGTGGGCTGTAATTTCAACATGTGAATGAATGGATGAGTGGCTGGTTTTAAGTAATGGACGGTCGATTCTGTTAGATACTCCTAAATGTTCACAGACTAGTTTTGAAGTGGCGTTTTGTTTTGCCAAGGTACGTGACCTTACAGTCACTACACGAGTCATGAACGTACAAGTTTAGGTAGTTGATCTTAATGAGTGTTTAATGCGAAGGCTAGGTCTGTATATTAATCTGAACTGAATTTGAGGGTAGAAGTTTTTTTTATTAAAGAGGAGAGTTGATTTTTAATTTGTAAGAATTATGAATCCATAAAAGGAAGAGATAATAAGGAGAAATTTGGGGACGGCGTGCACATTGGCTGGTGTTTGGAATTTATTATTCAAGAAATTACTTGTAATATTTGTTAGAAAATCAGTCGGATAGCCATCATTTAACAGATGGTGCCTTACTTTAACTGAAATTCATGTGTAATAAGCTACAGATACTGTCTCACCTTATTACCAGAGAATCCAATAAATTCCAGTAGCCTCATCACTCGTGTTGGTAGTTGCGATATCATCTGAATAGAAAATCAAATACTTGTATGCATGGAATTAAGTTAGTGTTATTTTATTAATATTTAAGTGCATCATCATCTGTAATACCCTATAGTGCAACTAATATCGGTCACACATTGAAATACGACATACTAAATACATTATTTGATAAACAGATGATACAACGCACTATGTTGTCTGTATAAATTGCTGTCTTACAGACCAGTTAAAGGCTCTGACTTGCATTATAAGGATATGTTTCTACGTTTCGCGGATAAACTATTAATATACATTCCGATATATTAGAACTATATTTATTTGTTAAAACTTTATACATTATTAGCTAAAACAAATACCATTGACAAAAAAAATATAACATATTCTTAATTATAGCAATGGTCTAATAAAATGTGCTGTATCAAAAACATTAGTTATTATAGTCTTCTCCGGTATATATTCCAGCTAATATTAGTATTAAAATAGTATGACCAAAACATGAATAGTTATTATAATCTTCTCCGGTATATGTCCCAGCTAATATTAGTATTAAAATAATATGACCAAAACATGATTAGTCATTATAGTCTTCTCCGGTATATGCCCCAGCTAATATTAGTATTAAAATTGTATGACCAAAACATGATTAGTTATTATAATCTTCTACGGCAGGGGTTCCCAAACTTTTTAGAATCGCGACCCACTATTCATGACCACAGCTTATGGCT